TTTTTTTTTTTTTTTTTTTTGTCTGTTTTTGTCTTACTTCAAGGTTGTTGTGTTCCAAATTTGATCTCATTTGGAGCATTGGAATTTCCTCTGATAAGACCATTTCCAAAAACGCTGAAAATTCTAAAAATTCACCCTGTTTTTATTTTATTTTTTCATTTTTTTTCTACTAGTTTGTTAATATGGTGTGCACTCTATGGAATGATGCAATTTTTGGTTAAAAAGAGCTTCTGGTTTTCTTATAAATAGCATTAAAAAAACGCTGAAATTTTGGGTCTCCGTTAACCGCCTCTCTAGGGAAGTGGTCTTGTTTGAGGCCAAGTCCATGTCAGTTTCCACTTTCTGGCACAAGGACTTAGACAAGGGAAAGAAGTGGAAAGGGCGTACCATCTCTGGTCAGGTTAGGGCCAAGGATCATATGATCCTTACGTTGGAAGAAGGTGGTACTGACGAGGTCCCGTACAGTCAGATTGAGTGGGGCCTCGAAGAGGAGGACAGTAGCGTGGGTCAGGGGAGGTCCTATGCTGTTGTCGCGGCTGGAGGGAGGCCGCAAAGTAGAGGAGGAGGCCAGGGCCAAAGGGGCCAGGCCACGGGAGGCCGAGGATCAGGCGCTCAGGGGGTTGGCGGCCAAAGGAACCGCCAAGAGGGAGGTAGGGGTCAAGGTCCCCCGCCAAATCGTCAGGGTCCCAGTCGGTCCTCGCAGAAACGAGGTGAAGGATCACCTCAAAGGAGAGGAGGTTGGCACTCAGGTTGACCGCAAGGCCGGCCCTGGGAAGACCTGGGCCTAGATCAGAAAGTGTGGCAACAGCGAATGGAGCAGGGGCAGTGCATTTACTATGGTGACCCGGCCCATATAATCAAATATTGTCAAAAGTATAGACATGTCCGTTGGACTGCCCAGGAGTCAAAAGGCAGCCGCCAGTAGGGGTCGCAACTGCCCCTACTATTAGGCCATGTGGGGAAGCGAGCGCGAGCGTACAAGAAACTCCCACACCACATGAGCCTTCGACAGAGGTTGCAGGCTCGTGCCTAGTTAGTTGTCCAGAGACTGCTTGTGTCAGTGTCTCTCTAGGCACGTCCCTCACAAACGTGGAAGAGGAATTGAAGGAGAGAATGCCTGCCTAGGCCAAGATGAAGAAAGACAGTAAAGGGCAGCTAGTGCTAGTTGATGTAGAAGTTTTTAGAAGTAGAGTTCGGGCCCTTATAGATTCAGGGGCCACGCGCAGTTACATTAGTCGTAAAGCGCTGAAAAAGTTGAGGCCAGGATTGAAAGTCCAGAAGTTGGAAGACCCCATAGTTAGTGTCCTCGCAGACAACCGCACTATGCATGTTGAGGACTACGTAGAGGGAGTCTAGGCGTACTTCCGCCTAGAGAAAGATGGGAAGGTGGAGAAAGTTCTTCATTCCCTGACTCTCCTTGTTCAGGATGACCTTCCTTTTGACATAGTCCTAGGTATGGACTAATGAGGCAGTTGGGGCCACACTCCACTTAAGAGAGCATGAGTGTAGGCTCCCTAGTCCGTCAGGCGAAGTTAAGACAGCCCATCTGTTCCATGTGTCTGGAGTAGATAACTCCTTGGCACATTGCTGCCTCAGTGCTCCCGCGTTCGCGCGATTAGTGAGAAAGGAGCAACTAGAGGATCAGGTCTTCGTAGTGTATGTAAGACCTATCACTGAGCCTAAGCAGGAGGATAGTTCCACGGATCCAGCCATTGCCAAGCTGCTGGAAGAGTCAGAGCCGCCGACAGTAGTAGTGTCGTGGCCGATCCAGCACAGGATAGAGATAGAGCCTGGCAGTAGAACTCCTAAGGGTGCAGTCTACAGGATGTCCCCTAGAGAGTTAGAGGAGTTGCGCAAGCAATTAGACGAGCTCCTTGAGAAGGGTTGGATTAGGCCCAGTTCGTCTCCTTTTGGAACACCGGTTTTATTTTTCCCCAAGAAGGAAGGAGAACTGCGAATGTGTATAGACTATAGGGGTTTGAATGCGATTACAATTAAGAATGTTATACCACTGCCCAGGATAGACGATCTCTTAGATCGGGTGCAGGGCTGCAGGTATTTCTCCAAGATAGACTTAAAGTCCGGGTATCATCAGATAGAGGTTCATCCTGATGACCAGTACAAAACTGCGTTCCGGACTAGATATGAGCATTATGAGTTCATAGTGATGCCCTTTGGACTCACCAATGCGCCAGCGGCATTTCAGTGATGTATGAACGATTTGTTTAGGTCTTGGTTGGATAGATTTGTCGTAGTATATCTAGACGACATCTTAGTTTTCAGTAGGACCCTCCAGGAACATCAGGGTCATTTGAGACAGGTCTTGGAGAAGCTAAGAGAGGCTAACTTCAAGATCAATGAGAAGAAGTGTGAGTGGGCCAAGACACAAGTTTTGTACTTGGGCCACGTGTTAGACGGAGATGGCATTAAGCCTGAATTAGACCGCGTACTTGGGCCACGTGATCAATGAGAAGAAGTGTGAGTGTGAGTGGATCAGATTCAGAGTCTACCGCCCGGCACCAGGGAGTTCACGATACAGCACGAGAAAGAGATAGCCACTGTTGTCGAGAACCTCAGGAAGGCCCAGCACCGAATGATAGAACAGGCTAATAAGGACCGTCGTCCATCGCAGTTTCAGGTAAGCGAGCTGGTCTGGGTCAAGTCCAAAGAGTTTGCTCCTGAGGAAAACATCTCGCAGAAGTTACTTCCCACGTATAGAGGACCGTGGCCAGTTTTAGAAGTTAAGGGCGGAGAGGATGGGTCGTCCTACACTATAGAGATCCCAACTCACCTCCACACCTACCTTATGTTTCACGCATCAAAGTTGCTGCCATGTGTCACTAGTCAACAATTTCCATCTAGACGGTCCATGATCCCTCCAGACATGGACGGCAGATATGACATTGACGACATTGTAGGTGAAGATGTGTTCAGAACAGGAGGTAGAGGTCGTCCATAGAAACAGTATAAGGTTCGGGTTGCTTATCAGGAGCCAGAGGATGACCGCTGGTTCACTAGAGCAGAACTTCTAGAGACAGCTCCCGATATAGTTAGAGCCTACGAAAGAGATCAGAGAGGTAAAGGTCCTGCCTTGGACTGAGTTATTCTCGGAGGACCTCGAATTTAGGCCGGCGGGAGTGAAACGGTATTCACCTGTTTGCAGTAGATGATGCAGATCCCAGGGCTCGATCCCTAGTCCCCACCTTACCTGTGTACAATATATGTGTCGACCCCTAGAGTTGAAACCGTGGCCTGTGTATTTGTAACAGTTGGTAGGTTGTCGTAGGGTCCATAGATAGCAGGGGTTCGATCTGTAGACCTGTCGAATAGGAGTCCCAGTCAGGTCTAGCAGTCGTAGCTATAGCTGTCTCGAAGGGTCAAGGTTGTAGCTGCTACAGTCCAGAAAGGTCAAGGTCGTAGCTGCTACAGTCTCGAAAGGCCAAGTCTACGGCCTTCCGGAAGGTCCGAGTAGTGGCCTTTCGAAGTTGCCCACGTTTAGGTTGAGGCAAGTGGGCAAGTGGTGAGGCAAGTGGGCAAGTGGTGGAGTCTACCCGTGCTGAGTCAACAGTCCCAGTCCTAGGCAGTCCTGGTCCAGTCAAGCAAGTACCATATGGGACTGTGTGCACTACGGACATGGGAAAAGGGTCAGACCAACGAGCTGCAGAAGTATAAATCAAGAAGCAGCGCCCAGTCATTCATTCATTCCTACGTGAGCCATGCGGAAGCGCTGCCACAAGCGACTTGTGCGAGGTGGTCTGCAGTGAGCCCGAGGAAGAAGTGGGCGAGAGAGAAGGAGTGTAGCCATAGCGATAGGGTAATAGCGGCCATAGCCGCCATAGCTGTAGTTAGAGTGCAGTGTATGTGTGTGTGCGTGTTCAGAGTAATAGAGTATCGTGTGTGGGATATCCAGGGTGATCCTGCGTATGCGAACAGAGAGTT